GATTTATCAAAAGCATTTCCATAGAAATGTATTTCATTAAAAGACTCGGGATGTCATGTTCGTACAGATCAAAAGCATAAACAGTACAATATAAGCCTTACTACATTATTTCATATCTACAGGCCTATATCCGTAATCCCTCGTCCAAACATCACATATATGCTCATGCGCCACTACCTGTAATACATAAAACTGAGTGGGTCAGGCTTGGGAGCCTGGTGAGCACATAGGGTTTTCAACCCACAATAAATAAGTTTATTAATTTCATCAATCAACAATAACCCGATTACCCGTTCCCGTTATCCTCACTTTACGTCCCTAAACACCTATCATAAGGGACCTAGCCTAAGGATCATCATCGGGACGGACACTACTGCTAAGGGGATTCCTCAGCAATAAATGTCCTAATAGGCAACCATGTGGGGGATGGAGTACACTGGTGACACACAGTTCAAATCACACAGTTCACACCTAGGTTGCGAGCCTGCTAGTGTTCCACTGGACTGTCTAGAAGAGTCCGTGGTCGTCATCTATACTCCGCTAGATGACTGGATCAACAACAACAACATCGAGGCCTCTCATCATTTTATCACACATCACCTATTACATCTACCCATGTTTTACCCCAACATTTTCGTAGATATAAAATACATATACAGTTTAAATCATTGAAAACATGTATAAAACGTTCATCTATAGATAGCAAGTATTCAGATAATATGCACACATAGCACGTAATTTATATAAAATACTTCATATCTATGTGTAAGTGAAAGTAACTATGCACTCACCGAAAAGGTGGTGATTCCGAACTCAGACAGCGCTTCGCTTCTTAAAAAGAATTTTCTTCGACGAAACCTAGTATTATTACCACTAGAGTTTAGTTTATTATTCGTCGAGACTAATTAATAGTCTAGCTATTATTATTATTATTATATAAGCGTCAAAAAAATACTTATATAACCCATAATAATAGCCCAAGTATTTATTATAAGTTCCTAATAACGTTACTATAATTAAATAAAAGTTATATTAAAAATAGCGTAGGCGTAGCTCACTTACAGCGGGTTTTATAGAAAACCGGGCTTTGCTTGGAGCAGCGTTCCGAGCCGAAAAGCTCTTCTTCTCGAGCCTTCGAGCACTCCGGGGCTTCCGCCTCGTGCTAGGGAGGTTCCCTAGGCTTTTCGGGGGATTTCGGGGCTAGAGAGAGGTTCTAGAGAGAGAGAGAGAGTAAAGAGAAGAAAGAATGGGAAAGGTGTGAAGAAAATGAGGGTGGGAGAGGTGGTATTTATAGGGTGAAATGTGGCTGAACTTGGTGCCACATGTCACCATCTGGTGGCAAGCCTTGGGGAGAAAGCAATGGCCAAGATTGTGCCACATCACCCATTTTCGCACAGCACACTTCCGACTTCTAAAATCCGTAACTTTCACATACGACCTCCGTTTTTGACGTTCTTTATATCCACGCGTAGGTAATAATAAGATCTACAACTTTCATTTTGACACCGTCAGCTAATTCTCGACTGATCTTAAATTTAACAGTACAAGGAGATTATACTGTTAAACGTCTGCGTAAAATTAATAACTTCTACATACGGACTCTGTTTTTTGTCTGTCTTTTTACCATTGATTTCCTATTAATGAGATCTTCAACTCTCATTTACGTTGCGTAAGCCAAAAACCGCTCGAACTAAAATTCGAGTTTCAGGTCGTGCACTGCTAAGCCCGAATCTTAGAAAAATCATAACTTCTTCATACGAAGTCAGATTTGGGCGTTCTTTTTATCGATGTTCTTAGTTTAATATATTCTACGACTTTTGTTTAGATTGATAAGGCTAAAAAGTCTTCTATCGTAAATTCACTATTTACGTCTCTCGCAGCCGTGCCGGTTTTGCCGTAAAACTTCGGCGGGACATAACTTCTTCGTTATAGCTCGGATTTCGGCATTCTTTATATGTACGGAAACCTTGAGACGTATTCTACAACTTTATGTAGAGATATCGAGATTATCTCACACTTTAATTTTGACGCTCATTTTTATTCTTTATTAATTATACATTTATAATTAAATAATAAACACATAAACACACATAATTCACATAATACTCAAATATTTTATATTTATTACTTCAAAAAGAGTTACAATAGTTGATCTAGACTATTACATTGACAAAAATGCTTAGTCCTGAAAACCCGGGCGTTACACAATGGCTTAAGATGTCCCATGCATGTAATAGAAGGGTCTTAATGGATTAAGAGCTTTCTGGACGTCCAAAGTGATAAAGTTCGAGACTTTATGAGTCCTAGGCACATTTGGTCACTGGATCTGGAGTTTGGGCTTATGTGCTTAATCCATTAAGCACTTATTAGGGTTTTGGTGAAACCCTGCATACGCCCAACGTAAGGTTCTGTACGCGTAGCGTACTGAGTCAATGACCCCGGTTTCCAGTCAATGCGAGACTCGTGTACGCCCTGCGTACGCCTTCTATGGATTTTTGGTGATTTAGGCTACTTTTTGGGCTAGTAGGGTTGGGCCTTGCTGGACTTTTTGAGTAGATATGTTTTGGACCAGTTTTGGTGATAGTGGATCATGAGGTTAAGCCCAATAAGGAAGTTGGGCCCAAATTTAGTAAATTAGGCCAATAATGGGCCTTACATATAGACTTTCAAGGTTATGGACTTGGAATTGGGCCTTAGCCCAATTAAAAGAGAATGGACATGATGGATTGAGTGGACCCTTAGCCAAGATTGTTATGTTGTGTATTGACTCGGCTTTTATTACGTGATAGTTCAGGTTTTTCCGGTGAGGCAGCGATCAGAGGTTTTCGGTGCAGCAACACGACTTGCGAGGTGAGTTATCCACACTATATCAACAGGGTCTAAGGCACCAAGGTCGGCCCTTTCTCGAATTGTATACTGGTTTTGTTTGATTTGTTTATTGATCTGTTAGATCTGCATCCTGGTAGTTAGGATAGTATTATGTTAGTGACCGGGTTAGGTCGGTATCCTAGTATATAGGATGATGTTATGTTAGTGACCGGTTAGGTTGGTATCCTGGTTAGGATGTTGCTATGCTATATGATTTGCTAGATCAGTTTGTTTGTCTATGGACTGTTATGTTATTATCTTTTATATGTGCACCTGGTTGTTTGATTGGGGTTGGGTTGAGGTGGGTCCTGCTTTATGCTGTAGGACAACGTACCCAGGGCAGACCGGATAGACTGCAGACCTGGGAGGGCACATAGTCAGGCCGAAGGCCCGACGAGCGGTCCAGATAGGCTGAAGGTCTCGAGAGGGCGGTCCAGACGTACTGAGACTCGGAGAGTGGGCCAGATAGTCTGAAGGCCCGGCACGAGCCGTCTAGTCAGACTGTAGACTCAGAGATAGGACCGGGTGGACTGAAGGCCCGGGGCGGGCGGACCAGTCACACTGTAGACATTGAGATAGGACCGGAGTACTACACTAATATTCCTCCTTTTTTTGGACAACTAGAAATGGTAGGCATGTACCAAGAAACCGGTTAGGTATGTTTGGTCACCTGTTAGAGTAAGATGACAACACTTTACTGATCTAGACAAGTCTCGTGAATTACGTTGTTAATGTGGATTTATAACCCACATGCATATTATGTAACATAACGGGTATTCGTTCTCATATGTGTTTATACTCTATTCCCCTCATGGTTGCCTTTATTGATATCCATTTCCAAGGAATCCCCGAAGCATAAAAGTCTACTTGTTGCCTGCAATGATCCGTCATGTTAGACCTCAAGGATCAATATGTGAGAATCAACGAGATGTGGTAGAATGTCTTATGGATATCTATTTTAAATGATATATTGTTGGTAACAGTTGGTTTTCTAGATTTTTTAATTATGAATTATTATCACTAAAATAGTATGGGATTGGAAACCCTATGTGTCTCATCAGGTTTTCACTCAAACTATATGCATCACATGTAGCAAGATTAAAGTTGTCGGAACTTAATTAGGATGTTGAGTGATTAAGAGACGATTGTTAGGTCTTTACAATGTAACTTATGTACTGTATTGATTATGACATCCTTAGGGTATTGTATTTTGAAATAACATCTTCATTCATGATATTTTAATTCAACGAGACAGTTTCCACAAAAAAATTTATTGTATTGGGATTTTTCGCAAACAATAAATATGGTTTTGAAAGTGTAAAGAAAATTGTTTTTTTTTTTTTTTTTTTTCAGTTTTGAAAAATAGGGGATGTCACAAGGATAAATCCAAGGAAGGAATTCAATGTTATAAATAGAGCCATAGGGATCTCATTATTGTTTTCATTTTGGCTTGACAACTTAGACAACTCTCTTCCTTCCTTTATAGTGGTCAAATTCCTCTCCCTCATAGGGTTTGTGAATTTGACCCTCCTCACACTTAATCTTATTTTGCTTTTTTGAGTTCATTGGGTGTGAACCACGAGAGAGATTGATCCAAACAAGGTGACACGAAAAGATCTCAAGCTCAAAATTCGTTAGCTGCAAGAGATGTATCTAATTCTTCATTTTTTTATGGGGTAGCTGTAATAGCACAAAACTTAGATTTTTAGGTTGCAAGAACACATAAGATTTTGTTTTATTTCTGTTATGATCGATTTGTTTAGACGGTTTGAATATGCTCAACATAACTTATCATATTACCTCCATGATCCAAAATTTGAACCTAGAGCAAAAATTTGAACCTACAGCGGAGTGTGAAATTAGAGTTGAAAGACATTTTAGAATGCATTTTCATTGTAGAATAGAAAAAAAAAATGAAAATTTGTCTTATATAACGGTTGATTTTGCAAGTGTACACATTTCACTAACACCCTACAAAATTGTAAACGACACCGTTTTGGCCGTCTTAGCGTGCCACCGCCATATATGTGGTCATCGAGGGAATTTTCTTTGAATTTCGAATATTTTTTTTATATAAAAACTTTAAGAAAATGACTGCTTTTTTGGTTTTCTTTATATGTTTGTATGTGAATGTACTTATTAAACCTTTGAAGAACCAGTAAGGCACTAAGTCACTAACCGTTAAAACAAGAATTATTGGGGAAATCACTACCACTCCTTACACCTCCGCCACCTTCTTGTCCTCTGCCCCACTCCCACCCCCGACCCCTATGACATCTGCCATTGTTCTTCTTCCTCTTCTTCTTCATCTTCTTGCTCATTCACGAATCAACTATCAACCTCATTTATTAATCTATGGTACATGGGTTCTCTAAGTGAGCTTCTAGCCAAAGAAGGATTCGTACGAGATAATTTCAATCGCAAAAAGGTCCGATTCAATAGAACAGTAGCAGCTCCTGATCATGACTCCATTTCTTTGCCTATTTACATCTGCCGTGACCGGAAGAGCATCGACGTTCCAAAGCACAAGAAGAGCTCATCGGTTGTTTCATCCAAAGGTCGTCTTTCATCGGCTTCGAGAAGATCGGATGAACCCGCCATTGATGAAGTTGCTACCAAAGCTGTGATTTCGATTTTGAGTGGGTATGCTGGTAAGTACTTGAAAGACAAGGATTTCCGAGATTCGTTGAGGAACAAGTGTCAATCGTGTTTGGTGAGGAGAAGCAATGGGTTATCGGATAATGGGGTTTTCGCTAACATGGAATTGGGGATCGAGAGTATTGAGAAATTGATTGATAATCCAGGGACGATTAAGGAATTGAAGATGAAAGCGTTGAGGAATTCGATTGGGTTTTTAACGATCGTTGCAGCTTTGAATTCGAAAGAATCGAGACATGGCACAACATGTGGAACTCCAAATTCACATCTCTCTGCTTGTGCTCAGCTTTATTTATCAATCGTTTACAAGCTTGAGAAGAACGATAGAATCTCTGCAAGACATGCACTCCAAGTGTTTGTTGATTCGCCTCAATTAGCTAGAACTCACTTGCTACCAGATCTTTGGGAGCATTTCTTTCTTCCACATCTCCTCCATATCAAAATTTGGTACCACAAACAAATCGATAACCTTTCTGATGATTGCTCGAAGGATCAAGAAGAACAAATTAACAATTTGAGCAAGATTTATGAAGATCATATGGATATGGGTACGATTCAGTTTGCTCTCTACTATAAAGAATGGCTTAAAACAGGTGGTCAACCTCCTGCTACACTTCCTTCTGTGGCTTTGCCTTCAATCAATTCATTATCTTCTTCATCCAGTCGAAGAAGAAGGAGTTCATCCTTTGGTAACTTTCTGTAAGTCTTAAAACCCTCTGAAAATTTGATGAGAGTGATTTAATTTATAATTTTTATAAAGCAAATGTTGAATGTGGTTTTGGGTTCTTTGATCATGAAGACATCGAGCTGTTTTTGGTGCTCCGATTGAGAAACAAGCATCTATGGAGTCTGATTATGGAGCCATGGAACAAAAGGAAGAAGAAGAAGAAGAAGAACTTTGTTTAGATGATTATGATAACAACCAACAGAGAAATGTTCAAGTATGTTTATCAATCTTTCTCATTTTGCTATTTTAATTATGCGCAAAAGTTGTAATGGAAAAGGCTAATTTCAAGAATGTTTTCATTTTTTATAATAATTTCATGTTTTTTAGTTAAGACATTACATTTTGAGAAGATCTATACAGTTATAGAAGTGAAATCTATTTTATATATACATGACATCATTATAAACTGGTAGACCTTTCAAAGTAGAATTAAAAAAAAAAAATTTAAAATTGAGATACTATAATAAACAAATCAATGACATTACTTTTTTACTTTTTGACATTACTTTGTTATTTTTTTTCCTTTTATGGAAAAGCCAAAAGGGGAAAAGTTTAGAATAAACTATAATTTTTTTTTTTTTTTTTTTTTTGTTGATGAAATTTACATTAAAAATATTTAAGGGTAAAATGCAAAAATAACAACTTGATTTTTATTATTTCTTTTAATTAATAAATCTCTTTCTATTTATAGTTATATTTTAAAATAATATATCCAATTATTAACAATAATGGATAATTTATATATATATATATATATATATATATATATATATATATATATATATATATATATATATACACACACACACAATACAATAAAGAAATAAAATTTCCAGAATATAAATCTTTAATAAGAAATAAACTACAAATAAAATGATATAATAGAAATAAATAAGAGTAAAATATTTTAACAAATAAATAAATAAGTTTTTTTTATTATGTATTGCTTTTAATAGCATTTTATGAAATTGTTTAATTTTGACTTTTATACTACAAATAGTTAAAGCCACTGATCAATTTTGTTGATCACCGACAGAGTACACTCTCCGATCTTCGAAGTTCGTCAAGCAAACCAGACTACACGCGATTTCTTCCATGTCAAATCTTACAAACAGAATCACGATTAACCAGATCTTCTTCAATCGCGTCTTCATCATCTGATCTAACCAGAGCCGTTTCCTCGATCACAACCTCCGAAAATTTACCCGAATGTGAAACCGCGATTCGTGTCATAACCAAATCATGGCTAGACGATCAATTAATCGAAAAACAACTATCCAATCCATCAGTAATCGAAGGTATGCTCGAAGTATTATTCGCATCTACCAACGAAGAAATCCTCGAACTCGTCATCTCATTATTAACAGAACTCGTTTCCAAAAACCCGGCGAACGGGAAGATCATTCTAACCCTAGATCCACGTCTCGAAGGGTTCACTGAACTCATGAGAAACAGTAGCCTGTTCCTAAAAGCCGCGATTTTGCTCCATTTTGTGAAACCCGAAGCGAAACAGATGATTTCCACCGAATGGATCCCGTTGGTGCTACGAGTGCTTGAATTCGGAGATCAAACACAGCAATTGTTCAGTGTTCGGTGTCGTCCTCAAATTGCGGCGTATTATTTTCTCGATCGGCTGCTTACGGGGTTTGATGAAGATCGGAATCTTGAGAATGGGAGACAAGTGATTGCGATTGGAGGGTTGAGTTTGTTGTTGAGAAGAATCACGAATGGAGATGATGTTGAGAAGTGTAAAGCGGTTTCTGTGATTTATTGGTGTATTCAAGCGGATGGAAGGTGTCGCCATTATTTAGCGGATAATTTGAATCCTGAGCTCATTCTTGCACTCTTGGTTCGTGGTAAAGAGGTCGATGGCAATGAGACTGTATTCTCTTTGCTTGTCGAGTTAATCTGCCTCCATAGGTAAAATTCATAACATTCACCACAAGAAAAAACTTTTAGGGTTTGATTAATGATTATTTTTCTTGGATTCAACAGATTTGAGCAAAGAACGAAACTTTTCGACAAGTTATTGAAGGGATTGGATTGCTTGAACACAATGCAAATCTTGTTAGTTTCTTTACAAAAGGCTACACAAGAAAAACGCCCTCTAATTGCTACCATAATGCTTCAGCTTGATCTTTTTATGGTAACGTTTTCTTTGACTTTCTCTATTAAGTCATTCTTTCTGCATTCAGTCAAAAAGAAACACCCCTATATAGCAGTTTATTGCAGGGAGATCCACTGAAGAGTAGTGTATATCGAGAGGAGGCAATAGATGCAATAACCGAAGCTTTAGATTGTCAAATATGTAATGAAAATGTTCAAGAACAAACAGCAAAAGCCTTGTTGATATTAGGAGGCAGGTATGCTTACACAGGCACACCAGAAGCTGAAAATTGGATCTTGAAAGAAGCTGGTTATGATGAGAGCTTGGAGGGCGGCTTCCATGGTAGATACTTCATCGTCCAAGGATCCAAACATTTGGTAATCAAAAACAATAATATCCAAATTCTTAATTTCCATTTAATTTGGACTAAAACTTAGACCTAAACCTAATTCATGTGGTTTAGAATGAAGATGATGAGATAGAGCATTGGCAAAGGAAAGCTGCAATGGCGTTATGGATTAGTGGTGGCGAAAAGCTTATAAGGGCAATTGGGGAATCGATAGGTTATGGGATCCCTTGTTTGGCACGTGCATCCCTTGTGACAGTTGCTTGGATGAGTAAATTTGTTCATACGGTTGGTGATGGAGATGTTCTTCAGAGTGCCGCATTGTCAATCCTAATACGGAAGTTGATAGATTCGTTGAATCGTGATAACACGATTGAAGAAAGAGTTCTTGCTTCGTTTTCATTACTCGCTCTTTCCAAGAGTTCAGGTATCTTTTTAATTTTTGTCCTATTGACATCAGTCTCACCCTGTTTGTTATGCATATGCAGGACGGGACAGAACAAGACAGAACAGGTTATACTGGGTTTGACATGCATTGGACCGAGACTCGACAATCTTTCTAGGGCTGTTTTCGATGACGAGAATGAGGAGGGTATTTCCGTCTTTTGCACATACAAGAAATCAAGAACGAGTCTGTGTCCCACCTTTTTGGATGGGACAACAAATTGAAATTTTTTATTCTATCGACATCGGTCACAATCTCAGCCACATGCAAAACCAAACGCGGGACAAGGCCATCCTTAGTTGTCCTATGTAACCAACGGGGCCCGTTGGTTACACATGTCAGAACAAACTTGTGCTTGTACTGCTTTGGACGTGCATTTGACTGAGACTATGACCGATGTCAATAGAATAAAAAAATTTCAATTTGTTGTCCCATCCAAAAAGGTGGGACATGGACTCGCTCTTGATTTATCGTATGTGCGAAAGACGTAAATGCCCTCCTTATCCTCGTTATCGAAAACAGCCCTAGAAAGATTGTCTGAGTCTCGATTCAATGCACGTCAAACACAGTATATGATGTTCTCTCTTGTACCATCCTACATACCAAATGGGTTATGGGTAAGACCCGTTTTGTGGGCCATGAGGTTTAACGAGTTTCATGTTACTTTTTGGCAGGTTTTATGTTTGAGATTTCAGAGGATGAGAAAATGGCAATGGTGGTTCATCTTCGAAACATATCGAAGGTGACATGGACTGCAAAAAGACTGGCTTCTGTAATAACAGGAAGCCCATCAAGAAGGCATTCAGGTGTTTAACAAAGGCTTGCTCATTCAAGTTGATTTGGTATATATATGAGTGTACAAAAACTTATTGCCTCCATTTTTATGTTTTATAGCTAGAAATGGTCTTTGTATATACTTGTAGATGCATACACCATTTCACAATGCTATAAAACAATTATATTTTTATGTTTGGAAGTAATTTTGAACATTACATGTACTTTAAATACTATGTATTCACACTTTCAATATCATGCTTGACTGGTATAAAAATTTTGAGTGTAATTTCATTTCTTAATTTTCTTACTTTACAAACTAATACTCAATTCACACTTATCAGTATATTTGGTGAGTGAATGGGAAATTGATTTCTTGACAAATAATTACCAATATGTAACCTTCATAATAAACATTACATCTCTTTACACATAATAGCAACATACTGACATAATAACATAATAGCAAGTTTCATTATATTATCACGATCATCAATGCTTACAAGTTTCAAGTTACATGTTGTTATGATCCTTAAGCAAATAACAATTTACGCATGATGTAAATATAACTTTTTTATTTTTTTCATTTAATCATGTGACTTACAAATATAGTTTTGTAAAGTTCATAAATATATCCTCTAACCTCATAAATCTATTCAAGAAGTAACAATAAGGAGTCGCTACCACCTAACATTATGTTATAAACAATTAGTTAACTGGTATAATTAATAGGGCTGCCCTTTCTTTCCAAGTCTTCTTGCCAATTCCCAATCCTTTTTCACTGAAAATAATAATATGTGCAAATGACAAGTCAGCATTAGACAACATAATTCATTAATTTGTTTATTATAGCACCCTACTTGCTATTACCCATTTTAAACCCATATAATATTCAAAAGTTGCTTTTGTATTTGATGACATGTCTATAATTGGATAGATTTGAGGAGAAACAAATTACCCATTTTAATATGTTCTATTTTCCCAGATTTAGTGAAAACTTACCAAGTGTCACACGTTTTGCATGTATGGAGCATAGCATTGAATCTTCAAACAACTGAACTAAATAATCTTCTGCAGCCTGCATAACAAAAAACTTTTAACATATACTAATGGATTTAATGGGGAGATGACTTAACCCAGTAAGCTATATATGAGTGTTTCTTTTTTTACTTAAATTCAAAAAGAACGACTTAATGAAAAAGGAAATCATATGATACCTCCTGAAGTGCTTGTAAAGCTTCAGCTTGCCATCGGGTGACTTCAGGGGCAAAGTAATTGCTAATTTCTCTTACCTGCAAACAATTTAACACCCAAATTAAAGCCATCAGTAATATGTAATGAGGGTATTTTAGTCATTTTGTGTTGAAACAAATGAACGCAATCATTAGTAGTTTGCAATAGAAAGACAAACGATTCAATGTGTTTTAACACATATAATTTCATAACTTGACGACGAATGCTTTAATTTGTCCATTTGCAAGAAAATTGGATAAAAATAATGTAATCGATATGATTGTGACTTATGAGAATCGAAGTACACAATTGGTTAACAAAAATCTTGTTAGGGATGAATGCGATTGCAGGCATCTTACAGTTCGGATGAAAGGAGCGGCCGGGATGAGAAGATTGACGGTCTTCTGCAAACGCCGGATCTCACGGAGGGCTTGAGTCCCAGGCTTATGACGATGAGGTCTCTTCCTTTCTCCGGCTCCGGCTTCTGAACCTGTAAACCAAAAACCTTTCAGATCTACAAAATCTCAGCACATACACACATACACAGCAAACATCAAAACGTATACAAGAACTCACTTGACGGAGTCTTCCTCGGACTCTTTCTTGGTTGTGGCTGGAGCAGAAGATATCAAAATAACATCAAAACCACATTACATCACAAAAATCTGCTGCTAAATCAGTAAATCAAACCTCAAAAACACTTAAAATTAACATTGAAATCGAGATAATAGAGAAAGATTATCACCGTGCTGGTAGAACTAGACGCGATACCTGCGATTTTAGTTGATGAAAAAAAAAAATTAGGGTTCTAGCAAAAGAAAAAATGTGAAGTATCAAAAAATAATGATTCGATCTAAATTGAGTGACGAAGAAAAAGTGAGTTCATGTGCACACCAGTTTTGAGCTTGGCCTTGGAGGAACTCCGTTTAGCAATTTGCTTCGTTCTCGCCATTGTTGATTTGGTGTTCTTGCTGCTGAAAGAAAAACTGACAATTGTCAGTCTCTGTATTTTGAACGGAAATCATTTTGGCGACCCCGCGCGGTTTATTTTCAGTTTGTCGTTTGTGTATTTCTTTGTCTTTAGCCGGACTGCGGTTTCAAGCCGCATCCTTGCAACCTGGACCGCAAACACCGTCCCTGGATGCGGTTTCCTGCGGTTTTGGCTGCAGTGCGGTTAAAAATGACCGCACCCTCTTTCTTCTCTCTTTATCTATGTGTTTTTCTCTATCTTTTCTTTTCTCTCACATCTTTTTTTCTTTATCATGGTTTCCACTCCATAGGTGTGGTAAAGAACCACACAAAGTGTGGTAAAAATGATATGGTTCCTATGTGTCATAGGAGAGAGTACGGTTCCTGTGACACCACTCCCTCCATCCTTAGACTCCGTTAAATGACGATGTTTGCGCCTAAAACAAAAAAAAAAGATTTGTGACGGTACAATTCATTGTGGTTCTTTTCATTAGCAACGTTAACTTTTCTTATAATATTTTTTTAGTAATTCTTATAAAAAATAAATATTCGAACATAATAAAATTCCAACAACCAACTACATAATAGATATAATAGATGTTACGTCATCTAAAAAAATTCTTCTAACGAATGTGTACCAGCATGTATGCCAAAAGAAAATTTAAATATTCGCTTACATTGTCTTCATATTTACTAGGGATGAGCATCGGAAGCAGGTACCTGCTTTCAGAACAGGAACCGCCGGTTCTGGAACCGGAACCGTCTTCCGGTTCCTAAAGTCTAGGAACTGCTTTAAGCGGACTCGGTTCCAATTTTTGTTTTTACGAAACCGATACCCGCTGGATACCCGCCAGTTCCAGTTCCACTATCGGGTACCCGGAACCGGTACCGACAAATATCCTGTCTTTTTTCTAAAAAAATATATATTTAATTATTTATATATTGATGATTTTTTGTTTACAATGAAAATAACTATCAAGTCTTTTCTAATTACAGGACTACTTAAGTCGTTTTTGGGTTTTTGTGATTCATTCTTCCAGAAAAACGTTGACACCAATTCTTCCCTTCACAGCTTCACTCTCGTCTTCTACTCGTTACCATCGCATATCAGAGTATCATACATGTTGTCTTCGTCGGCTGTGGGTGGAGTGTTGTTGCCACCAGACATGATGGCAGCAAGAGGAGTGTTGATTGTATGTTTGTGCTCATGTGACTCGTCACTCTCGCATATCAGAGTATCATACCACAACGATTACAAGTATGTAAAGCTCCATTCAAGTTCAATCACCATTCATTTCGTCAAATCGTAACCCAAGCTGTTCAATCGCCACTTATCTTTGTTCAGTCAGTTGCTTCTTTTCAATTGTAGACCATTCCTGCTCAATCGAAGGTTCAATATGCGACAACAAGTCTTTATCAGGTCTGATTCTTACTGTTATGTAAATGTGAAGTTAATTTTGTAGATTCCTTAAATTCTGTTAAATTTTGAGTGAATATCTTGTTGATGTTTTGGCTAAAGATTATAGTAGAGTATACCGGGGACAATATATTTTAATGATATGACTGCTCAATTGAAAATCAGTATCTCATACCATCAGGCTTGGCGTGCGAAGCAATATGCACTATTGTTGATAAGGGGTACGAAAGAGGATTCTTTTACCAAACTTCAGGCTTATTTCCACAATTCGGTCAAACATAATCCCGAAACAGTGACACATATTCAAACAAATGGTGATCGGTTTGAGTTCTTGCATGTTGCATTTGGTTGCTCGGTTACTATTACTATATTTTATTATTATTATTTTTCTTGTGGTGTACCTAACTATAATCAGTTTATTTGAATAGATATACAATGTATTATAGGTACGCGCTTTTGTCAATTGTTGTAAGTCGACCCTTGTAGTAGATGGAGCCCACCTAAAGGGCGAGTTCAAATGTACCATATTTATTGTCCTTACTAAGGACAGACAAAACCAAATATTACTGGTTGCATATAATATATGCAAAAATGTACAAATTCTAGGACATGGTTTTTTTAAAAAAAACTACATGATTGCATAGGCAATATGGAAGATCTTACAATTATATCTAATAGGTCTCCGTCGAAAGTGACATCTGTTGCCAATATTTTTCCTCACGCTAATCACGAAATATGTGGTGTCAATTTGTATTTCAACATAGTAGCTAGATACGGGAAGAGTAAGACAATTAAAGGATTTTTTTGGGAGGCTTGTAGAGCCTATACAGTTGATGATTTTAATGATGTTATAGACCTTATGAAAAAGACAAAAGTACAATATGAGAATACTTACAAAGTATAACTCCTGAAACTTGGTCTAGGGCACATTTTAGAGGCAACCGATACAATCTTATGTTATCCAACAATGCAGAGTCTATAAATGCATTATCTAGACATGCACGTAAGGTGTCGATACTAATGTTGATCGAATTTTTCCGTGCAACAATGTAAAAGTGGTGGTTTCAAAGACGTAGCTTGCAGGTAGTAAGTTGTAATATTAATGTTTGTGTTAAATGTTATTGATCTTAACTATGTAATTTTCTCTATTCTTTTAACAGAAGCAACAAAAACACTCACCTTTTAGGCCAATGATATTGTAAAACAAAATAAAAATACTTTTAGTGATTGGGATGTCAGTCAAAAGCACATAAGTTTCTACACAAAATCACAGTCAAATTTTTTAATTTGTCTGCAATTCATAGTCCAACTTACCTGAAGAACGTAGTGTACTTATTGACAACACAAGAAAGGACTGTTTAAGTTGACAAGCCATTACACAGACTGACAACACAAGACACGATTGTTTGACTTGACAATAAAGATGGAGTTACAAAAGGGTGCCACTGTAAATAATTGTTCATATCCATATTAATTATATCACCTTACAATTTTATCTTTCAAATATGGACCCATCTGTACCACTAAGATGGAGCATCAGGAGGAGGTTGCTTTGGTTCATGCTTGGATCGTAACTGTAAAGGAGGATTTTCCACTAGGCCCGCCACAAGTTCGCAATGGATCATTTTGGTCTCGTGTCTGTCATTTGTTTCGCCATCAAATGGGTTGTACTCAATATCGAAG